GTAGCACAGACATGTTTCCAATTCAAAATAAAGTTCCTAATAAAAGGAAAAATATAACCCAATATGAATTATGGAAGAAAAGAAAGCCAAATTAAGTTATCTTAAGGTATGGGACTGTACAACAATTGTAAAAGTTCTTAAACCTAAACGAAAAAAATTAGGTGAAAAGGAAATAGAATGTATATTCATTGGATATGCTTAAAATGACAAGGCATATAAGTTTATAGTAATAGAACCAAATGATTTAATTCTTATTAATATGGTCATTGAATTTAGAGATGCTACATTTGCTTAATAAATATTCAAATTAGAATACAATTATAAAAAAATGCTCTAAATAGTTCAAAACACCAATAAAAGAAAACTTCATTGAAAAAGAAGATAACTTTGTACTAGGAACAAGAAAAAGAGTAAAGAAAGTTAAAACTTTTAGTTCAGACTTCCATGTGTTCCTAGTTGAAGGAACAAGGAAACTATCAATAAACACATTGAATATTGTTTCAATGTGGAATTAGATACTAGGACATTTGAAAAGGCAATAAAGTCTCAAGATGTAGTTTTTTAGAAAAAAGCTATAGATGATAAGGTGGATTCTATAATGTGAAATAATACATGAATCTTAGTTGATCTACCTCCTAGTTGCAAATCAATTGGTTGCAAGTTGATTTTCAAAAAGAAAATGAAAGTCAATGGGATTATAGACAAGTTTAAAGCTAGACTCTTTGCTAAGAGATTTACACAAAAGCATGGTATCGATTATTTTGATACATAGACATCCATAGCAAGAATTGATATGATTAGAATGTTATAAAATAGGCTTTCATATATAAAAATGAAATTCGCCAAATAGCTGTTAAAATAGCATTCTTGAATGGTGAATTAGATTAAGAAGGGTTTGTATTTCCAGGTCAAGAAAAGAAAATGTATAAATTGATCAAGTTATTTTATGGATTTAAACAAGCTCCTAAGCAATGGCATCAAAAGTTTGATGATGTTGTTCTAGCAAATGGGTTTAAGATTAATGAATTCAATAAATGAGTCATAGTAAGTTTGAAAAAGATAAATGTATCATCATGTGCTTATATGTGGATGAAATGTTAATTTTTGGTATGGACTTAGAACAATTTAAAAGTACCAAAAGGTTATTTTCTAGCAATTTTGCTATGAAAGACATAAATGTTGCAAATATGATTTTAGGAATCAAGATAATTAGAGAAAACTCTAATATTAGCTTAGCCCCAATCACGTTATATTGAGAAAATTCTTAATAAGTTTAGTCATACAATGGTGCAACAATTTCAACACCTTTTGATCCCAATTTAAAGTTAACTAAAATAAAAGAGATGTTGGTTGTACAACTTGAATATGCAAAGGTTATAAGTTGCTTGATGTATGCAATGCATGCACAAGATTGGATATAGCTTATGCAATTAGTAGGCTTAGTAGATATACAAGCAACTCAAGTAATTTGTATTGGAATACTATATTAGGAGTTCTTAGATATCAAAGTAAACTATGAAATATGGCATTTCATTTAGTGGTGATTCTTCAGTATTGGAAAGGTAGGCTTATGAAAGTTAGATGATCAATATGAAGGATCATTCATCCACTAGTTGATGGATTTTCATGTTTGATGAGAGTGCAATTGGGTTCCAAAAAATAAACATGCATTGCTGATTTTACGATGTCTTCAAATTTATGGCTTTGGCTTCTACTTGCAATGAAGTGGAATGGTCAAGGAATTTATTACTTGAGTATCCTCTATGTCAAAATCGATGTCACCAACTTCTATCTTTTGTGATAGTCAAGCTACACTATCACAAACTTATAGCCAAGTGTATAATGAAAAGTCTGACACTTGGTCTAAGGCATAGCTATGTTAGACGACTTATAATAAATAGGGTAATCAACATTGATTTTGTCAAGTCAAGTGGAAATTTGGTAGATCCATTGACAAAAGGATTTTTGGAAGATATGGTGTCTAAAACTTCCAAAGGGATAGGACTCAAGCCCTTAAAATAAGTCCATATAATGGAATTCAATTCAACGCATAATTACAAATTAGTCAAAGTATATAATTTGAATGTGATTGTAAATGTTTAAATATAAAACCATCCCAAGATAGACAAGTATTTAAACCATATATTATAAAGAAAAATTGAGTTTAAACTCATAATGAATCCATAACATGTAGATTAAGTGTTCGAATGTTTATAAGGTTGTATTTTTTATGAAGTTCATCTTTATGAGTGTAAGTGGTACGGCTTTTAAGAGAAAGGGCTTGACTCTAAAAACACTCATGAATATACATGACTCACAACCATTGAAATTGTGTAAAAGCATTGCTAGATGACACTTTGGTGGGATATTAAAGTCTATGTGTGATTTAGTGTATGACTAATATATAAATTGGTTGGTTTAAGAATCTATGATCTATCATTCAATTTAGATAAAAAACACTTTATAACTAAAGTAAAAATTTTAAATCATATTATATGATATCTTCACTTACACATGAGATTTTTAAAAATACTATAACTTGCCCTATTTTGAAAATAGGTGGGGGATGTTATATTTTCAAAATATAAAATAATATGTTTAAGTAAAGATTTAATCAAAGAAAAATCATATTAAGCTATAGAATAATTTAAGGTAAGGTTTCAAATATCAATAACATGATTCTAGACACAAAATATCAAATTAAAAAGACTGCATGTAGGCAATCGACTGTCATGCACATAAGAGTCGACTGCTTTAAACTTCCAAGAGGAGCAATTGACTGCCAATAGCATTGAGTTAACTAGTTTGACACCCAAAGGTTAAATATAATCTCTGTATAATTAGCAATTGACTACTAGCTAAGGTAATTGACTACTGTGGCTAGAAATCAGTACAATCAATTCTTAACCCTAAAGGAATCGACTGATATTAATTAAAAGTCTTCTAAATTCGAGTTAGAACTTTGTAGTCAACTACTTTTAAAGAGAAGTCGACTACTTTGTAGATGAAATAAATTTTGAAAATTGATAGAAGTCGACTCTTAAAGAAAAGTCCACTAACCTACTTCAAATAGCATTCTGAAAATTGAAAATACAAAGAAGCAATCAATTGCCTTCTAGGTAGAGTCAATTGCTCTACACGAAAAGTTACAATTTTCATAAATGTGAAAAATGATTTCTCTTGATTTGAAAAGTTTGATCAGTTTAATAAACCAATATGTCCTTTCTTATTCATAATGGCGTCTTTCTAATCAAAGGAAATGATCTTTGATTGAAACAACATAATCAAAAAGTAACCACTTTAGGATTCCATCTTTATAAATATAGATTGTTGTGGTTTGTTTGACATTTAGAATTTCAAATTTCTTTCTCTCTTTTCTCCTATTCTTTTAAATAATACTGATGTAAAAAAGTATGATGTGGAGAAAATTATCAATTTCTCTCTTGGCCAATAAACAGCGAGCTTTATTGATTGGTCAAAACAGTCGCAGGAAGAATAAAAATGACGGAAGTTTCAAAGTTGAAAAAGGATTTGGTTCCGCCAAACAAGGCAATGGTAATGAACGTTACCATTATTTTCATCCACGAGTCAGGGCCATGCCCTACTTTTTCAACTAAACCCATCCGTTTCTAAATCTCAATCTTTTACTATAAAATTGGTTCCAAAAGACCAATATTGTCAACAAATAATCTACCAAGCTCAAATTCATTTCTTCAAGAGGTGAGATTTTCAAAATTCCCTTGCTCTTTTACTTCATCTTATCCTTCTGTAATCTATTGTAGCATGATTTGTTTTTCTACATCTCTTATTATCTTTGCTTTTTCGTTTTTTTCCTCTTAATTTTCATTGAATCGTTATGTTACAATGGCAAAAGATAATAAGCACGACATAAAAATGAAATTTGTATTTTGAAATCTTACTTAGACAAATAAAGATCTTACTAAACCCAATTGATAAATTTTGATTGAAATAAGGGAGTAATTAGTAAGGACTTCAGCTATTGATTGAGAGATAAGGCAACTATTTGATTTTAATATTTTGTTAATAGCTGCACGAATGTTTGTTAATAGACTATTAAATTTTTAATTTCGATAATTAAATTCAAATTCTAATAACTTCAATCATAATATATATATATATATATTTGTTAAGTTAAATTTTGAATACTAATTGTATAAAATGTTACAATCATGTTAAATTCTCCAAAATCATTGGCAATTCTAGGTAATTAATAAATGATTGAGTAAGATTTCTTATAATATGCAAGTGTGATAAAAGCTAAAAAAGGTAGCTGAACAAAAGAAGAAAGAATATATATACATATATATATATATATATATGTATGTGTGTGTATGTATATAATATATAGGCTAACATGTGTATTCAATTTGCTATTGGAATATATTTAATATAAGTCCTCTTCAAACTCTAACCATTTGACCATTACTGGGTCCTTATACTTTTGTTTGTATCATTTACCCATTTTTAACATATTTTGAATATAATTAAACTAAATTTTTGCAAAAATATATATGTTTAAATTGCTACTTATATTTTACAAATGGATGTAATTAGACATTTTCATGAGCGAAATTTTAAACAAGATTTTTTAATCTAAATCCAATTGAATTCTTTTATTGAAAACAAGTTCCTTTTATTTAATATTTTAAATATTTAAATATTATTTTTAAAAATAATGAGTCTAAACAAATTTTAATGGATGGATCAGTGTACTCGTTGTTATTATTATTATTATTATTATTATTATTATTATTATTATTATTATTATTATACAAAATTGAGGACAGTTTTAATTTATTGTTATAGATTATTATTATTATAAAAACATAATTTTATCTTGTCCATGCGTATTAAACTATATATTAATTAATGCTTAAGTGAATTTGTTCCTTCTTGCTTATGCCTAGATGGGCATGTTCTCTTGAATTTTAGATTTTACAAACTAATTTCAAATGGCAATGAATTTTTCACAGGTTGGGAGCAAAATGATTTCTTACTGCTTCCGCTTGTTTATTTTCCTGTCCCTCTCAAGTTTTAGCGTTGAAAGTCGACAACTCAATGGAAATGCATACAAATTATCATCAAGGTTTCCAACATTCCATCATGAGGACCCATCCCATTTGGACAACAATGGCACTATTGAAGGCAAAAGATGGGCAATTTTAATTGCTGGGTCACAAGGTTATGAAAATTATAGGCATCAGGTACTACTTAGTTAATTAATTCCGATTAACTCTCTCTAATCTCATAAAGTCCAATAACTTTTAAAACGAATTTTCAAGTTCTACCCATATATTCGAATGTCTTTTTAATTAGGGATGATGTTTTTATTTTTTATTATAATCATTTGGATGCAAAATGAAAAAGTTCTTATCACATTATGCATGTCATATTATTAACCGGATTCTTAAATGGTCAGTCATAAAATGTAATTACGACAATATAAAAATCTCTCACATCATGAAATTTAAAGGGACCTTAAGACATAATTCATATTAATAATGTAAAATTGTTAATGGCAGGCTGATGTTTGTCATGCATATCAAATTCTAAGAAATGGCGGATTAGAAGATGATAACATTATTGTTTTCATGTATGATGATATTGCATTAAACGAATACAATCCAAGACCCGGTATCATCATCAATAAACCCGATGGAGAAAATGTTTACAAAGGAGTTCCCAAGGTATATTTCCCAAATTCCTTTCATATTTTTTAAGTTTTTTTTTTTTTTTTTTCTGTATGTGTAGATATAGTTTCCAATTATTTCTCCTCTTTTAATTTATTTTTAAAAATTTCTTTGATAGGATTACACAGGGGAAGATGTGAATTTGAACAATTTTTTGGGTGTTATTCTTGGGAACAAAACTAGACTTACCGGCGGTGGAAGTGGGAAAGTGGTTGACAGCGGTCCAAATGATCGTATTTTCATATATTATGCTGATCATGGCAGCCCTGGATTACTTGGTTAGTAACTTCAATCACTATATTGGAAATAACATTTCTTTTTTTTTAATGATTAAAGTTATTAAGGTTTGAATCCCTATTACTAAAACTAAAAATCCAACATTCTATTAACAAATGTTCGCAAAAAATAGCATTCTCAATCAATTTTCTTTCCTTTCATTTTCTAAATTTCTGTTTATGACCCTGCATTTAACAGGAATGCCTTCTGGTGATGACCTTTATGCCAAAGATCTCATAAATGTGTTGAAGAAAAAACACCAAGCTAAAAGTTACAAAAGCATGGTAAGTTTATTGTTTTCGACTTTCTATTAACATAATAATAATACGCATAGAACTAATTCAATTTATTCATATAATTATAGTTAATTTGAAAGATAACATCCAATAAATTTAAGGTTCAAATCTTAATATCTACATCCAATTCCCTTATTCCCAACCTATGAGCTCTTTGTATTAAAAAAATAATATACATAGCTCCCTTATATATATATATATATTATAAAAAAAGACATTAATCTTGAGAAAAGTAAATTGATTACAAGTGTTGAGATTTAAATTCTAAAATTATTAAGTGTCACATTTTAAGAATGGTTTTACGAATTAATTAGACTAAATTTCTAGTCCATATTTTATTTAATTTATGATGAACACATATATATATATATATATATATATATTTCAGGTATTTTATGTTGAAGCATGTGAGTCTGGAAGTATGTTTGAAGGAATTCTTCCAAGCAATTTAAATATATATGCAGTTACAGCAGCAAATGCAAGAGAGAATAGTTGGGGAACATACTGTCCTGGAGATTATCCCTCTTTCCCTTCAGAATTTGATACTTGTTTGGGAGATTTATTCAGTATTTCTTGGATGGAGGACAGGTTCATAATGTTTTTACTTTTATTTTATTTAATTAATATCTCTTAATTATTTTATTTATATGATATAAAAGTATATATAAATTTTCTATTTTCTATTTTTTTTTTTTTCATTTTGACACAAACAGTGACATTCATGATTTGCGTAATGAAACTCTGGAGCAGCAATATCAAGTGGTAGGTGTTCAATATTTTAAATTTGGTATAGGAATTGTATTTAAAATTAGCCATACATTTAGACTTAGTTTGATTTGTGAAATTCTTGAAAATAATGAAATTTTCAAGCAATTTAAATGAGAAATATGACTTATTCTTTTAATTAACATAATAAGATAAATAATCATGTTAATTACTTAATTCAAACATATTTTTCTTTTCTTGCAAATTTTGTTTTTTCAATATTTTAATTAAAAAACAAACAAAACCTTAGAAAAAGCGTCAAAAGTTCAAAACTATATTGGAAGTCAGCAGTGATTTGTCGATCGAATACTAAATTCTGAATTTTAGTGAACATAATTTAATCTTTAACAATCTCAAATATTAAAAAAAATCTTATAACTGTTGTATGGAATATAATTAATTTTGCGATTGCATTATTTTCAGGTTAGAAGAAGGACAGCGGTTGATAGCCTGGATGTTAGTTCTCATGTCATGCAATATGGAAGTATGACATTCAAAAAGGATTTTCTCTTCTCTTATTTGGGTACAAATCCACAAAATGATCATTTTGCACTTTCTTCTGCTCATCACTCCCTCAATTTACCAATTACTTCAAATGTTGTTAGCCAGCGTGATGCCAGCCTCCTTCATTTCTGGTATAAGGTAATTGGTTTTCTTAATACCCTTTTTAACAAATTCCAAATTTTTATATTATTTTATTCCAATCAATTGAACCTTTAAATATTAAATTTTTATCAAATTAATCTCTTGAATATTTATTTTCATCTAATTAAATTTTCGATTGAAAGAAAATGAGTATTTAACGGTTAACCCAATTTTCATTCAATAAATATTTAATTGAGTGAAAATAGATATTTGATAACTCAATTGATTATAACAAAATAATAGAAATTCGAATAATTATTTAATTTTGGTTTATGGATATTTTTATACTTTACCTTTTTTTCTTATTACTAAAAAAAAGGAAGATTCACATAGGCTCTTTGACCAATAAATATTCTTTTTTTCTCTTCCTTGTTTTATATAACTTGATATTACAGTTTCATAGAGCGCCTGAAGGCTCTCCAATAAAGGTTGAAGCTCACAAGGAGTTGGTTGGTGAACTTTCACAAAGGAAGCACATTGATGAAAGTATTAATCAGATTATAAGAGTTCTTTTTGGGTATAGAAATGTCCCAGAGATGCTCAACTCAGTTCAATCAGCTGGAAAACCTCTTGTTAATGATTGGAATTGCTTCAAATTGCTTGTAAGTAGTACTTCAAACATATTATAATTTGAACCTTAGGTCTAACTTATTTAGTTCATATAGTTATTCTTAATAGATGTTATCTTGGAGATATGATGTTTGAATTCCAATACTTACAATCTCTTTCCTTATTCCTAGATTGTGGTCTCTTTAAAAAAAATATATTATAATATGATTCATGCTTGTAACTGTTAGTATTGATGATTTTCCTTTTTTGCAGGTTAATGCATTTAAAAAATGTTGTGGATCAGCCACATCAAGGTATGAAACGAAGTATAGTGGAGCTTTTGCCAATATGTGCAATGCTGGGGTGGATATGAAGCAGGCTACTGCAACAATAACTGAAGCCTGCTCCATCCATTCATGAATGCTATTGCTATGTATCTTCAAAATAAATTTATTAATAATAATATGAATGATATTCAGCTCATGCAATACTATTTATCTTTATTTTACTTCAAGAACTTTTACATGATATGAAATAAGAAGTTGATTAGAAAATAGAAATTTTCATTGATAGAATTTCTGTTAGAAAAAAAAAACATATTTTGATAGAGTTTTTGTCAAAAAGTTTGAAAACACTAAGCATTTGGTTGAAAATGAAAATTTCCATCGAAAAGATGATAACTCTATACCTGGAGTTTCTATAAACGTTGTTCTTCAACCTATCTCATGTATTTGTTCTTTCAAACTTCATTTCTTCTCCAAACTCATTCCCCTTGAATTAATCAAACTTTGACTTGATTCCTTGAGATCCTTAAGCAAATTTATCCCCGTTTTGCTTCATCATTCTTTTTAAACATTTTCTCTTTGTTTATTTGCAAATTTAGTCTTTTGTTTTTAGCTCAAGCCATTATCAAGTTAGTAAAACAATTAAAGTCCTAAGGTTGTGTTTGATGTACAAGATTAAGATAAAATATGATAATATAAGATTATAGATAGAATTAAATTAGATGATATCATCCTATATTATATTTGGTGTGTACAAAAATTTAAAATACACTGCAAGAGTTTAGGTTTTTAGTTGTTATTTTTTCTACCTTTAGCGGCATTTACAAATGCCACTAAAAGATTTATGGCATTTGCAAAAAACGCTAATCAGAGTGTCGACTATACACTTGTTAGAGAAAATAGCGACGTTTTATAAAAAAAGCCGCTATATTAGCAGCGTTTGCATATGAAAAATACCGTTATTTTAGTGGTGTTTGTATATTTAAAACGCAACTAATTTAGTAGTGTTTGTATCATAAAAATGTCGCTAATTTAGCGGCATTTTTATGATTGGAACGCCACTAATTTCTTGGCACTTTTTTATAAGAACGCTGCTATTTTTAATCGTATTTTATGCTATAAATGCCACTAAATTTAGAATTTAGCGGCATTCTTGAACGTGAACGCCACGAAATTAAGAAATTTAATTTTTTTAATAAAAATTTTATGTTAATATCTATTATTTTCATTAACAAGAAATGTTGAAAAAAATAAAAGCGAACTTAAATTCCAAAACTGAAATTAATAAATACTTAATTCACGTTCAAATATGCATCTAATTAACACAAAGTTTAATAATTAGTATAATAAGATTCAAATTGTTTCCATACATTAACAAAAAAAAAATTAAAATGTATAAAATTGATGTCTACATAGATTTGAAAGACTACCAATTGATGAAGGAATTTTTCTACCTTGGTCACTAGCGTACTCAAGAACCTACTAAATAATATCATACAATTTTTAACACTTAATAGTAAGCTTTTTTATATTAAAAAATATAAATATTTACTATATATAATACTTGAGTTGGTGGACCCCTAAAATTAGTTCCTAGAAATTGTTGTTGCACAAAATTCATAAGATGATCAAATCGATCATGCAACTGTTGAAATTTTACACGCTCTTGCTCCATTCTAGCACATTCTTCCTCAATTTTGGCATGCTCATGTTCTCTTTTTGCTTCCATTTGCGGGAAACATTATTGCATAGTTTGCAACTCTGATCTCAATATCGAAATGTCTCGCGCAGACTGACTTGCTGAGAATATAAATTACTGAGAGCTACGTCCATAGTAGGTAGATGGTGTTGGACCCAATCTAAGGCCTCGAACCTATCCATACCTTTTTTTTCCAGCAACTTCAATGAATATCAGATTTTCCAATTCTTGCATATTGACAGAACCATCATATGCTACTTCAATCTCGGCAATCATTTTCTCTTTCAGTTTCTCCTATAAATTAGTCATATACAACTATCAAGTTTAATGATTAATTGATAATATGTTAAAAATAGTAAATATTTACTTTTGTTAAAATAGATATTATAAATTATCATAATTTCTTGTGTTTCGACATTCAAGTAAGTTCCATCTTTTTTTATGTGTGTTAAGCGAAATAGTTCAACACGTCCAATTTTACCACCCATCTCAATCTCCTATACAAAAGCATATATTATTGTATATTTTGCAGTCGTCATTGGGTGGTTATTGTGATTGATATACCCGAATCTGATATACCCGAATCTGATATGATGCCTGATTTGAGTATATTATTGTTATTATTTTGCAATCGTCATTGGGTGGTTATTGTGATTGATACCAAATCTTTAATGCCATACTTAATTTAGCTAATCCAACGGTGATGCCTAACCCTGAAATTCAAACTTTTATAAAAAGGTATTACATGTTATTATATTATATATCTTTTATTTCTTCATAAGTAAATTTATTTATGTATTAAGTAATTTTTTTCTTTTCAATTTGGGGTAATATCTATATTCGATAAGAAGGCAAAGAAAAAATAGGTGTCATTATGGGTAAATGTGAAATTTATTCTTTTATGTTGAGTTTGTGTAGATAAATATTTCCTAAACCCACTCAATTTAATTTTCAGGTACCTTATCAACCTGAAAATACTGAATGTGGATATTATGTCCTTCATTTTATGCGAAAGATAGTTTTATATCATTTTATGACTACACCATTTAAGATTAGTATAAATTTTATAAAGTCGTTATATTTTCAAAAAAATAAAAAGCTTAATTATGTTCTCGTTTATTAACATTTACTTTTGATAATTTTTTTTGTGGGAAAGTAAAGAAAGCTTCACGGTAGAGGAACTGGATGAAGTTCGTAAAGAATGATGTGAGTATGTATCATCATTTATTAACAAACCTTGAGGTTGAACATTGTTGGTTTAATGTAAATATACGAAGGTCATTTGTTATAAAGTTTTTAACATGCCATGTTGTATATTGGGGTATTGGTTTAATATTATTGGTATATATTTGTTTTATATGAATACATATATATTGAGTATGATTATTTGAGAAAAGTATATTAATATGGCAATATTATCAGTTTTAAATTCGGATGTGTGGTCCATTTATTGAAATACAATAATGTTCATAATGTAAATTTCAAAATGTAATTCGCAGTATCACATATATAAACCAAATATTTTCTGGCACAAACCTACAACTGGCTTCAAATGTTTTCTGTTCATAAACCTACAACTGACTTCACATACATAATTAAACAAAATGTTATTGAAGGTATTTTTTTATCAAAATCGCCTTCAATAATCCCACCTAAAAATTTATTGTGTGGATTATTAAAGGTATTTTAGGCCAAAAATGCATTCAAGAATCCGTTCCAACTTTTTTTGTATGGATTATTAAAGCCATTTTTTATCAAAACAGCCTTTAATAATCACTCATGAAATTTTATTGATTGGATTATTGAAGGTGTTTTCGACCAAAAACTCTTTCAAGAATCTGTTCCATATTTTTCCTTTGGATTATTAAAGGCATTTTTCTGTTGAAAATGCCTTCAATATTCTCTTTCCAAAATTTTTTAAATCGATTGGTGAAGGCATTTTTGCCCAAAAAATGCCTAGAATAATCTATTACAAATAATCTCTTTAAAAACCTATAAAAAGCTAAAGAGAGATATTGATCCTACTACCTTATGGTTAATAGTCGTATGATCTTTAAAATTTGATACCCCAACCGAGGATCACCCTCTATACTAGAGAGTAATTTTTGAAAAAAAAAAAAAGTAAAAAATCGTAAAAGGTCTCAAAGATATAAAGTAAAAAAAAAAAGCAAAACAAAGGAAAAAAAGAGAAAAAAGAAAAATAAATGACATAAATGAGTTGAGGCAAAGTAATGAGAGTCTTTTTGTGAGGAATAAGGTGAATGAAAAAGAAAAAAATAGTGAAATGATGTGGAATAGGGCAAAATGCCTAGTTTCATTAAATGATGAGAAATGATCCTTTAGTTTTGAACTCTTTAAACATATATTTTAAGCATATTTTATCCATTTCTTTCATGATCCCTTACCATAGCCTATGTTACAACCTTAAAAAGTCCATTTTGATCAAGTGTGAATGCTCAAATTGAATGATTATATGTTAGGCTAAGGCATGCTTATGATGGAGCAATGGAATTGTGAATGTGTTTTAGAGATACATGTATGGAAGATATCAAAAATAAAAAAGAAAAAAATGAAAAAAAAAAGATAAAAAAAAAGAATGAAAAAAATGTAAAAAGAGAAAAAGGAAGCTCAAATTGAAAACCCGAAAGAGTGGTTTGGGTAAAAAACCCTAAAACTAAGAGTTTCAATAGTTGGATAGATCCATGACATCTGAAGATCCCTTAAAGCTAAGGCAAAGTTTAATAAGCTCAAAATGATTTTGACTATCAATAGAATGAGTTTTTAAAAAAGAATCCTGGATTAATGTTCAAAATTATTTGAATATTCATTGTTTGGTATACCATTCATCCCAATGACATCCATCGAACCTAGTTATTTTTGTACCAAACTCATTCGTATATTGATTACCTTTTTTTCAATTCATCTTGTACTTTTTTATCCCTAGAATAAATTAAAAAAATGTCTGATTGCATTATATTTTTCAAGAATTGAAATGATGATGAATGAATGATAATATTCATAAAAGATTCTTACATTCCTTTGAAAAAATCTAGGATAATAGAGACAAAAAAATGAGAAGATAATTTGAAAAGATATTTGAGATGACCAAGTAATAAATATAGTGATGGATTGTTAACATAACTTGGGATGTGTGGTTACGATTAAATGATGAAAATGATGTAGATCAGTGGATGAAATTTTTGTTGAAATTGCTAGTGCTAAGAAGTCTGTGGATTGTGATCAAATGATGCAAATGATGTTGATCAATTGACAGAATTTATTCTCGGATACCTAGTGCTAAGCAACTGAAAAGGAAAAATATGGGATGGAAGAGTCTTGAAACCATAGTACGACAATTAATTGGAATTTCATGACATTTATCTAAATTATATGCATTATGTTTGCATCATCATTTGAACAATACATGCGTATAATTT